TTCTGCTTGCCCATCTGGCATGAACCGCAAACACGGGGTTCTTCCTTCTTTAATTTCGGCAGACCACGAACAACACCTGTAGATGACAACTCAAGTAAGTGAAGATAATTAATAGGTCCTAGTTTCTGATGCCAGAGTTCAACCGTATCAATACTGGCTTATTACATTTCAGTTCAAGTTCAACTAGGTAACAGTTATCCCTAGATCTAATGACAATAAGGACTTGATTGTTCTCTTGATTAGAAACAAGGCATTCACATTTTGTGAAGTTCACATTGAGGCCTTGGTCACACAAATGACTAATACTCAACAAATTCGCTTTTAAATTTTCAACAAGAAGAACATTTTGAAGTTTGGACAATCCAGGAACATTCAAACACCATATACCAAGAACTATATTCTTAGCATCATCACCAAAGGTCATATGACAAGAACAATTGCTGTCAAAATACTAATCAGAATTAGAAGTGGATTTCAATGCAAATATAGAAGATAAGCACACGTTCTTACTGCATTTAGAAACCCAAATCTTTTTCTGTTCATGATTAACCTCACCAACCTTTAATTTAGGTGCTTTCAAGGGTACACCATGTAGACTCCAATCATCAATTCGACCAGTATAAATATCATTATGCATCCTATAACACCTAGAGTGAATATGACCATGGATACCATAATAGTGACAAACAGGCACAAAGTTCTTACCAGAATTCTTACGCTGAGTTTTAGTAGGGTTAGGCTTACCATTCTTACCATCAATGTTGTAACCTTCTTTGACAAAGGTCAGGTCTGACTTACTCAGAGATGTGCTTGGTTCGCCAACTTTACCTTTCAGTTTCTGATCATGAGTGCTCTTACTCTGGTCTGAGGTACCTATTTGTTGACTCAGCTTTTGAACTTAAGCAAATGAGGACTTGGGCTTGTTGATCATTTTGACAATTTCGTCACTCTTGCTGAGTTTTTCTTCCATGGTTGCATAATAACTTCGGAGTGTCACATTTTCTTCCATCGCCCGACCGAGCTCTCCTTTGGGAACAACATTCTCTGTTTCCCTTTCACCTACAAGACTCTACACAGCAAACAATTCATTACGCAAGGATACAATATTAAGATTTTTGTCATCACTTACCTGCTTGCTCAATTTATCGCCATGTTCCAGTAGGACAATTTTGGCAAAGCAGCTATTAAGATCCTTGTCTTGCTTTTCAGCATGAATGTCAGAGTTGATGTGCTTCTCATTCAATTCTACGGTTAGAACCCTCTCATCTTTTGTTGTTCACTCCTGAGATAAGTGATCTCCGTTTCACGTTCTGCTGACCGATGTTCCAACAGCTTCATCTTCTCTGCCTGAGCTTGATACTTCTTGATGACTTGGGCAGCCTTCAGACACTTCTCTATAGATACTTATGGAGCACAAGGTTCTCTTCAGTTGGATCAGAGAACTCCTCAGATTCAGAGTCACTTAAGATTTTAGCGTAAGAACCTGCATCAGATTCAACATCAGTAAGTTGCACTGAGGATGTAAAACATTTATACTCATTAAGAAGACATTTAGAAAAATTATTGGAATAATGAGAGTTTTCAGTCTTTTCAGATTCTTCATCCTCATCATCACTGCAGTCGGACCACATTGCTTTATAAGTCTTGTTCTTCCTCTTGAAGTTTGGGCATTCCTTTTGAAAGTGGTCGAACCATTTGCATTCCCGACACTGATCTTTTTCCACTCCCTGATTGTCGTTCTAAAACTTGTTCGGTTGAACATTGGACCGCTGCTCACCAAATTGCTGAAAAGTGTTCTTACTCCCTTCAGAAGACTTCCCTTGAAACCTTTTCTTCTGAAACTTCTTCAGCTTTGAGAAATTTTTGGTAAGAACTGTGAGAGCTTTTGTAATTCCTTCAGCATAAAAAACTTCTTTATCCGAGTCTTCTTCCTTTGGTTCCGGTGTACAAAACTTGGCTTTTAAGGCTAGGCCTTTTTCTTTTCCTCCCTTCACTGAGTCAAAGCCGTGATTTGTTTCGAAAGTACGTAGATCACCTAGGAGATCATCAATACCCAGTGGTTGAACTCTCATAAAACTATCCAAGGCCGTGATCTTGATTCCAAACCTATCTGGTAAGGTTCTCATCAACTTTTGCACTTGTCTCGCCTCTGATATCTCTTCAACAAGCATTGCACTTTGGTTTATGAGGTCACAGAAGCGAGCATAGTCATCATCTCTCATCCGGATCTCGTCAAGTTCAGTCGTGATCCTGGGAAGCTTCGAGGATTTCACAGCGTGCGTACCATCGAACTGTCTTTCAAGAATCTTCCACGCCTCACGAGTTGTTGTGCACTGAATGATCATCTTATGGTGAGTAGGATCCGCAGCAGACATAATTGCATAAAGTGCTCGAAAATTAGCTTCTTCTGCCGGTCTTTCAGCATCCGTCCAGAGATCCCTTTGTTTCTCAACTAAAACAAGACCAGCCGAGGTTGACGACTTTGATTCCGAGGACTCACCTATCTTGGATTCAGAAGGAGCTTTCGGCATGAGTGGTGTGTTCCATCCCGACTCAATAACTTGTCAGGTTCTTTTACCCAGAGAGCGAAGAAATATCACCATCATGGATTTTCAGTATCCATAGTTAGAACTGTCGAGGTACGGAGGGCGCGAAACGGACATGCCATTGTGATTCATGGTGACCAACCCAAGGACCCAAAGATCTTTATCATGTAAATAGAACATGAACACTGCTATGGTGCCAATTGAAACGTAAGTATTTTACGATGAGTGTGCTCAACAGTGTTAGAACACTAAAAGACAACTAAAATAGCAGAAGCAATAAACCGAATATTTAAAAACTCTTCAAGGAAGCATCCACTTCCCCTCAGAGGTCTTTCATTGATAAACCATTTTTGCACACTTGTATAGTTTGGACTTACACGACTTGAACTCCCTTCTAGCCTAGCCACAACTACACACGATTCTATCAATTACTTCTTCGGCCACGTCCCGTGGACTTTCTTACACTCGAATCCCTCGAGCAACACTAACACTTAATCCCTAAGTACTGATCACAATAATGTTTGAATAAAACAAAGACAAGAAAACAAAACGACTTCAGTTCTTTGATATGTAAGAACACCGAAAACTGAACCAAGAACTAAAAAAAAAAAAGAAGACTTGAAGCTCGAATAGTATATGAATATGAATTATAATAATCTCAGCAACCTTGATTCGATCTTTAATTAGGGTATATATACAGCTCCTTAGGCTTGGAGTCTTCTCTAAGTTCTTTCCTTCTTTCACGATCTCCTTTAATCTTCTTCCCAAAAATAGTGTAGTAACATGGAAAGTATATCCCCTTGAATCTCCTCCTTTGACCGCATCTCTTCCTAAATCTTCTATGTATGTCGATACCCTACAAAACATAACCATAATAAGATCATGCAATCTAATACCTAAATAAATAGGAAACTCGTGTACATATATATATATATAAGTAAAAGAACTTTCCTTTTATAGATTCCTTGTGCTTGTAGGAACATATCTTCAATATATTCATTTTTTGAACTCATGCCAAAAATATACTCTTTTAGGTGGGTCATATTTCACTAAGTGCATTAATTGCTTCCCACCTATCAACCAAGATGATGAGGCAATTTTTTTATTATTATTTTTATTTATGAATACTGTCGACATTTCTCTTCTCACCTTCATAATTCTCCTTTTTTATCCATATTATAATTATGTTTGCATGTGCAAATTAAATTTCAAACACTTACCTGAAAATTGCATATATTCGGTTCATTCTTCACATTTGCATGGTGAGAAGGTGAGGGGGCATTATGAGTGGAGTCAACTGATATGCAATTCGGGCTCTAGCACTAATGCCTCGATCCCGACACCTAAGTTTGCACGGCACACTAAGTTTGAACAAGCTGCCAATCTCATCGACGTCGGTAAAACTGGAAGAGGAATTATTTGACAATTCCTTTTGAGGATATTGATTTTCTTTATGGAAAAAACAAAACCCCTCTTCAAAATCTTTTTCGGGAAAGTCCAGGTTAAGGCGAAAATAGTCGTATATCAGTGATTTTTCTTTCCTTATTTGCTTTTNTTTGATTATCACATAAAATTTTGGCTATTCAAATGGTGGGAGTTTTTCTTCTCATGATGCTTAAGCATGGTGGTTATTTTAAGAAAGCTTAGCCGATCATGAGAGTTCTGGCCTATGGAGTTTATTCAAGAGAATAAAAATAAGTAATAATCGAATTTCTGATACAGAGGTGTTAGGACCGACAACTCAAAATTCAGTTCTCCATCAAGCCCAACTTACAAGCCCAAATGGGGTTCCATTCTAAAACCAATTGGTAATAGAAGAAGTAGCCACCAAGCTTATATATTGGACTTGGAACCTTTAATTTTTCGATGTGGGATTGAGTTTGCACACCCTACAAACCACTCCTCAAATACAAGACCACATTGGGCCTCCCCTTAAACGAAATTCATACGATCCGACCATCTTGTACCGTTGTTAACCCGCCGCCTGACCACCCTTTCGCCAGGAAGACTTTTGACACAAGGCACACGGATCCACCAGCCGTCCACCAGCTCCACAGGGAACAATATGTCACGTCATCCACATCGCAACTGGGCTACCAACCGTGGCTCTGATACCAATTGTTAGGATCGACAACTCAAAACCCAGTTCTCCATCAAGTCCAACATACAAGCCAAAATAGGGTTCCATTCTAAAATTAATTGAAAATAGAAGGAGTAACCCACCAAGCTTATATATTGGACTTAGAACCTTTAATTTTTTTATGTAAGATTGAGTTTGCACACCCTACAGGAGGTTCATCTAGAAGATGCAATCGTAAAACATACTCGCGTCGTATTACAAATTGAGCTCTAAAGGCAGAGACTCGTGTCAGTAACGTAGTATAAAATTAGAGGAAAGGAGAGAATAGAAAGATCATTATAATTGAAACTTAGAAAACTTACTATGGCACAACTATAATAATATAATTACATCGAAATCAAAATAGTCATTCACACGTATACATATTAATCAATTCATTTAATATTTCATAACGAAATTAAAATAAAAACTGAGAAAGAGTGTAAAAGCCCCTTCCTCGGAGCACGGGGATAGTGGATAAGCAGAAATGCCAATCCTTATTCATCATACCTCCATTCGTAGTTTCTCTCTCTATACTCCTTATGTACCGTTCACCTCTCCGACACTATCATCTCCCCTTTTCGCCATATATAAAGCTTCGACATCCCAAACGAACTTCTGCAGAAACTTGCGTTTTTCTTGCAAATTATCAAGATTTAGATGGTCCCGCGTTCCGTTTTGCACCAAAAATGGAACCTTTGAGGATTTTAATGATACCCTTTTGCCCGAAACGGCTGGTTGTGAAGAGTCTGAGGAGCTTGCGCTATCACTTAAAAAGCCTTTTCCAAAACAAGTGGACAATGGAAAGTCCGAGGAAATAGAGGAAGATGAAAGGAAGAAATCTGCCGAAGATGATATTCTTGAACCCTTTTATAAGTTCTTCCGGAAATCGGAGGACCAAATGAACCAAAACCAGGTTTCTGTTGCCGATGAAACTGAAAAGGTGCTCGTGCGTGCTGGAAAACTTTACAATTATATAGTTGTTTCACACTTTCAGCAATTATTAGAGCTAAAATATTTAAATTGTTAATTCTACTTACATAGGTCAATGTGGAGTATTATGAACCAAAAGCAGGCGATTTCGTGGTGGGCGTGGTGGTCTCGGGCAATGAGAATAAGCTTGATGTCAATGTTGGGGCAGATTTACTGGGAACAATGCTGACAAAAGAAGTGCTTCCCTTGTCTGATAAAGAGATAGATTATTTGTTGTGCGATTTTGAAGCTGATGCAGAGTTTTTAGTGCCCGGGAAGGTTGGAATTGTGCAAAATGATGAGCCATTAAGTGGAGAGCCAATGCAAGGAAAGCCGGTTGTGGAGCCTGGGACAGTTCTTTTTGCCGAGGTCCTTGGAAGGACCTTAGGTGGTCGGCCTTTGCTGTCGGCAAGAAAGCTGTTTAGGCGAATTGCTTGGCATCGAGTGAGGCAGGTTCTTTTCTTTCTTTCTTTATTTTCATTTTTTTTGCTTGCCTATTTTTTGCACCTGTTGGTCGTAATTGATATTTGATTATGTTGTAAATTATATGCGAGATCCTTGATTGTGTGGCTGATACTTATGTGGAGGTTAGTGGGGAAATGAGGCTACTGTTGTGATCTACTTGTAAAGAACAAATGATTAAAGGTTGTGAGAAGCATTTTTTACCGGTGCTATGAATTTTTCGTTGTAAATTTCCGTATAATCGGTCCATTGGCCATAGCTTAATTTGAAAGATTTGAAGCTAAGAAGTTGTCTCCTTTACATACCCTGCAGTGTTAACACTAATCATCAAATCCTCCCATTCATGAGGATTTCGAACTTAAACTTTAAGGCTAAGTTTGGATTGAAGGATTTACTAGTGATTTGAAATCTATAGATTTCAAATTTACAAGTTCAAATCCTCATGCATGTTGGGATGGTAATAGAAGTTGAGGGATTTCAAATATATGCTAGATGGTTTTTAGTCATTATTTTGAAGGATTTTAAATGACCCCTCAAACTTAGTCATTTGAAATGCACTGTTTATGACCGTTGACGACCACACCGTCTGCCATCATTTAGCTTCATCACCACCGCGAGTCAACACCATCGGTGCGAGCTAAACAATGGATTTATCATAGAGTATGCAAGTAAAAACTTTATATTTCAAAAATTTTGAAATCAAAGGATTTCAAATCCCTCAAAACAAACATAGCCTAATATAATTTGGATTCAAGTTTTTGTTTTTGTGATCTCTTAATAAAATGGTTTTCAAACCTTATACTTTAATCTATTATGTTGAGTTGCTGGGGTTGATTTTAGGTTTATCTTGTATAAAATTATTTCTAAAATTATTATTTTTCTCTCCAAATCCCAAACCAATCCCTTTCAATCGAATTTCTGTCCAGAACTCCAAATGCATACTTAGGTTGTTGCATATGTACTAATTCTTAACATATCACAATGCTGCCTCTTGTGGTTGCATTTTCTAATTGCTATGTACTATGTAGATATCTAGCTGTAGGTCATTCCTTGCAGAGTAGTGTAAGAATTCTCAAAGCAATGGTTTCAATTAATTCTCTTTCTATCAGATAACATATCAAAAGACTAGGAAGCTTACTGTTTTGGAAAAAGGACAAGAAAAGAAAAGATAAGAAAATAAAATCACAGTATGTTTCTGTCAGGGGTAGTGTTCTTGCAACAACTTTTTGCTTTATGGCATAATTAATCATCTCCTGCGGTGGCCTATCTTTGAACTGTGAATTCTTTGTTTGAATTTGCTTTTCTCGAGTGATAAAAATATTCCATCATTTTATTTTGGCAGATAGAGCAATTGAATGAGCCGATTGAAGTTATACTAACTGAGTGGAATACTGCAGGTCTCCTTACAAGAATAGAGGTTGATTACAACTCTTGTGTATGCTTTTAGCTATGAGGTTTGCTAGACCCATAATCCTTTGTGTTTTGGATTTGCAGGGGCTAAGGGCTTTTCTTCCAAAAGCTGAACTGATGAATAGAGTTAACAATTACACTGAAATGAAAGAGAATGTATGGCTCATTACTATTGCACATGTCCTTCCTCTAATTTCATATAATGGTTATGTTTATCAATTTTGGGTCGTGCGTTTTCATCTTGCTGTTCTTATAGGAGGTGAGTTTCAAGTCTCACTGGTTGATTAACGTGAAGAACATTTTTCAAATGAATCAAAATTTGGAGGGCAAAACCAATCGCATTAGCCATTGCATGGCTGATGTTAATGTTATGTCTTGGCTTACTAAGTTTCTCCTATTCAGCAAGGATTATAATATTTTAATCATGATGTTGCAGGTAGGACGGAGGACACGTGTGCTAATAAGTAGAGTAAATGAAGAAACCAACGACTTAGTAATCAGCGAGAAGGCGGCTTGGGTTTGTAGTTGCATTTTCAATTTTGAGATCATTCCGAAAGTACCCTTGAATTGCCACATTAC